GGCGTGCAAAAAGTTCAGCCGTTTGCGACGTTTGGCGGAATCAGTCCATTTCAAGGGTTCAACAGGTAAACGATTCATGGTCATCGCTCTCTACGCAGTCCTTTGATGGCGGTTGGCTAGAATTCCTGAAGGGTCCCGATCCTTACCCCCAAACAGGGGGCCTGTTGATCATGACTCTTGGAAAACCCGAGCTAAAGCTCCAAGACTCTACGCCCCCAATGGGTGGATCTTTTTTTGGCTTACCTTTGGACCAACCCGGGCTTAAGAAAACCGGCCCGACGCTCGGGCCCCACCGCGGGTGGGGGGCTTTGAGACTCATGAGAATGGCCCTTTGAAAGGATCCCCAGTTCAATGAGTTGGGAAATTGAAAAACTTTGTTTGGTTGGGGGTCTGTAATTCCGGCGGAGAAGCCACCAAAACAAGGCCGGAAAATGGGTGGAATCTAGTCAACAATTGGGGATCAATCAATGCGGGGAGGCACGTGCATGTAAAAAACAGCTGCCTGCAACTGAGGCGCCGCGAACGTCATAAATCTTGCTGGGGAAGAAGAAGGTCAGAAGCAACCTTGGCTAGCGCATTTCGGTGTGCGAGCAGAAAGCGGTCGTCGGTCGAGGCATTTCCAAAGAAAACCGTTTCCGTGAGGTGTGACAAGGCCGTGCAACTTCAATGCTTGAAGGCTACCTCTCAAGGTGGGGTCCAGCCTCCGCAAGGCCAAATAGGATGAACCAGCTCTCAACGCTTGGGGGAGGGCTCTTTTTGAGGGGTTGCTTGGGGATGCTTGAAGAAAGGGTGGGTTGGCTTTTGAAAGGTTGGTTGTATCCTTGTTTCGGTTAAACATGGAATCAGGGCTAAGAGCCCAACTCTTTGAAACCCAAGCCCAGCTCCAAACCGCCGTTTTCCTTCAGGATAGTCATGTGTCGCAAAGCACAATTCTGGGCCGCACAGATCCGACCGAGACAAAGAATCAGGAGCCGCGTTGAAATTGCTCACCAAATCCTACCCGATTCCGGCGGATCGCACGGGACACCCCCAAAAACACCACTTGGGTGATCGGCCAAGTTCGTAATTTGTTGGTAACCTAATTTGCAAACCAATTGTCGGCCTCCTTAAGTGGGAAAAGCAAGTTTTAGTAGGTTATATCCCCACTAATGCCACTTACAACTTGGCCAAACATCCGGGAAAAGAGAACTCCATCACACGCAACAAACAGGTCTCCCTATGTTTCCGCTCAAACATCACCCACCCCAACAGAAAATGGGCCACAACCGCTCTGAAAAGTGATGATTTATCTCTTTAGAGAGTCATACAGGGCTATAAGTTCTTTGATTTTTAAACTCACGAAGGGAATTCAAAATGGGGGCTTTCCATTTTGCTTTCCTTTCAGCCAAGGTGAAACGGCCACCGACTCAAAACACACACCCATAGGAACTGACCAAAGCCGGCCAAGGGACGGAGTACTGAGCTCCGAGCGCTGCGAAAATGAGAAACCCAACGGTTCCTGTGCGTTTTGTCGCGTGAGGCCATGAACTTCGACAACTGAAACAAAAAGGCAGCAAATGCGTCAGAGAACCAGCAACAAACACGCCATAACATCATGTCTAAGACATATACCAAAAACGTTCACTTGAAGGCAACTAGGTTGCTTTCTGCTCCCCTGCTAAAAGTTTAACTTTTAGTGGTTTAATGGACAACCCATTAGTTGGCAAAACAAAAATAAAGTCCTAACATCCAAGAAAAATGCCCCAAAGGCAATTGTTGCTTGTTGGACATCATGACGTCATTGGGCAGTAAAGCGAGCGATGCTCGTCTTTCGAAGCATGTCTTTGCGGCCACGTTCAACCCTTCACCCCATCCCAGGTAAATTCCCCGAAAAGAGTGAGGGCCATACTCCTAGAAAGACACCTGGAACTTGTCTTGCTGATCAAAGGATGCTTGGGAAAGACAGGAACTTGCTTGGCTCGAGCCTGCAACACCAGCTAACTCACTACCAGCAAGAAGCTTGTTCGGGAAATTCATGGCCCACCCTGAAGGGGGACTCCTATAAGCTTTCCTGCTACTCCAAGATCCTACAAAAATGGTGCCGAAACACAACCTGGTTTGCAGAGGAGAGACCTGGTTTGTAAACGGTTTTAGTAATTATTGCATTTATACAGGTGTTGTGCAGTTTTTGTACAGGTTCCAGGAAGCACAACCAGGTTCTTGATCGTAAACCTGGTTTTCGACGAGTAGAAGGTGCAAAACCCGGTTCTTGCTGCCCACCCCACTTTTTTGTAGGTTCTTCGAGTAGCTGGTTGTTTCTGATGGGTACCTTGTTTCTCATTAGGCTTCAAGTAGTGATGGCGCTGGACAGGTACGCCTCAAAGCAGATCACCAAAGCTCGGCTGTCTTTTTTGTACCCAAAACTCTGACTTCGATCAGCCCAAGTTGCATCAATTCGTTGGGAACGCAATTCCATCTTCGTAGACCCCGCAAACGGAACAAATGGAAGCCCCAGGATCACCTCCCTCCCTGAGTTCCAACGAGAGGAAAATCGGAACCCGACAAGATGTTCCGCGCCTCCGATATAAAGAAGCGCCAGCATGGCGAAGCTTCGGAGCCGAAAGCTGAGCTGACTGGGAGCTACGGATCTCAAACTACCCCCCAAAAAGGCGACATCACCTCATGATTCTGTCCAACCCTTCAAGAAGGGAAATCCCCCCCCCAAACAAAAACACAGAAAAGCAACAACAACAGCGGTCCATACGAGTCCAAAAGTGTGTCTGTGCGCAAATAAGGGATTCCCAAACGGATGGCTTTCCCCTTTGGTGCCCTACCCCTCCAAACCCCTGTATATACTCTTTTCACATGTCCACAAACATCGAACGAGATCCCAGCTCTGATTTCGGCATGTGATGCCCCGCGCAATCTGCCGCCTAGTGAAAGCTGCCGTCGACATAACATGAGGGCCACGCCGGACGAACTTTGGCGAGTCCGCGTGAGCCCCGCATTGAAAACGGGGAATGGGAAACCGGGTCCTGCGAGGCTTCCCTCTGTGGATCGGGTGCTATTTGCGGGGGACCTGAATTTTGCCCATCAATAGACCCAAAATGGCCAGGTCAGCATGCAGGACCAAAGCGAGCCTCTCACCGTGTTTTTTCCTCATTCGACTTAAGCTTAAGTCCCTGTGGCTCAGGGCAACTGGGCAAATCGTTGCAATCCTCGGATTCATCCGGCTCACTAAGGGGGGGGGGGGGGGGCGGGGGTGAGGAAAACCCTTCAAAAGTGGTCTGAATCCCAAGGGGATTCTTTATCCGGGGTCAACATGACCTGAAAAGAGCAATCACACAAAACAAGTTGGACGCGTGAAGGAAACCCAGTGACCCCGAAAGTTTCAGATTCAAACCTGGAGCGCGAAGTTTGGCCCAACCTATGTGAAGTGAGCGCAAGGCATGGGAAAAAACCCACCGCGTGGGTCTCCCAATCCCTTCGACAGATTGGATGCCCTGGATAAGTCAACAACATTCTGGGCTTCGGGCAGGATGCGCTCCTGCACGCCCGGCGCAAACCAAAGATACGGAGACAGGTGTCCACCTTTTTGGAGCAAAAGGCAGACCGAAACCCAGGGGTTCTCCTGGCAAAATCAACAGCCGGGTTTAAGTCTATATCAAAACAGTGGATCCCTTCCAGACCGGCTTCGTCTCTTTCACGCGCGGGAAGTCGGATCTCTCAATGATACAAGTGAGCTGTGAGAAACCCAATAGCCCCGTCTGCATGGAACCAACTACAGGCTGCATGAAATGACCCACAGACTGGCCAGGCCGGTCACCGAAAATCCGATTCATCATTGGTACTAAGATTGGTGCTGATTTATATGGGCCATTATGGGCCTTAGCGTTATATGCACTTCCGCAGCTCCGGCTGGACAGTCGCAACTTTTCAGCACCACTACATGACATGCACTTCCGCAGTTCTAGCAGGAAAGCCGCACAGCTCCAGCTTGAAGTCGCAACTTTTCAGTGCCAAACTAGTACTCTGACTAGCGCGGCGCTCAGAAAGTACCTCCCTTTGCAATCGAAGCCATCTCTATCGCGCGGCTTTCGCGGATCTTTCGTGAAACTTTCGCGACACATCACCCACGTTTCTAAAGCCACTGACTAACACCCACACACTTGGAGCACTAACGCGCGACGCAGGGCTTTAAAACTGTAGCGTCAGCAGGGATTATCAGGGGACAAACAAACAAAGGTTTTATTCAGCTTAAAAGGAAGATTCTGCAGAAAAAAATGAGATGGTCACCGAATACTAAACTCCTTACAAGGACCTGTAGAACGACTCCCATATAGAGTTCCTTCAACTGCCAGTTTCAAGCGAACTGCAGAGCCAATCCATGAATTCGAGAATGAGATGCTGAAATTGTGCGAGATGTCACCCGCACCAGTGAGTCTTTTCCGGCGTGAAAGACGGACAGCGGGAGACTGAGAGGTTCCGTCTGGTAAGGGGGAATCTTGGTGCTTCGACCCCGTTGTCATCCAAGGCGGGTTGATCCCTTTGCCACCTTATTCTGGGAATTCCTCAAGGGGAAGCTCCACTTTTGAAGAGCAAAAGGGATGTTTTGCCAAAAGGCTAGTCTTGCAAGGACAACGACCTGTCCCAGACTAGCAAGAAAAAAAGTTTTACTAGTTTGATACTTTGACCCCTTTTTTAGAGACCAGCTTGGCAAGTAAAAACTCCTCTCGGAACCTGGCAAACCCTGCTTGAAGGGGCGGGGTACTTAGAAGGTTCTTCATAACCCTGCCTTTGGTATCTCGCGAACTAAAAACCATCGATACAACCATCAATGATTGCCGGCAATTTGCCTTGCGTGTTGCCCCTATTGAGCGAATAACACATGGTTACTATAGCAAACATTTGCCCTTTTTTCAAGAGTACAACGATGATCGATACTACCCACTTAGCATTTTGCGCCTCTTTGAGCAGGAAAGCAACGCGCACAAAAACCCACGCGATGCTGTTTTGGTGGCTCCTTGAGCGCCGCTGTAGCGACTGTAAGGTCCCCCAGGGCGTGAAAGCGACGCACCTCGCTCTCAGGCAGCGCCGAGACGAAGTCGTGGTGTCTTTGCGTCGGCGTCGGTGTGTTGATTCACAGGAAACCGGCAGCCAATTCGTAATCCAAATACACAAATCGGACTTTCTGAAGGCTTCGCAAACCAAGCAAGCAAGCAAGCAAGCAAGCAAGCAAGCAAGCAAGCAAGCAAGCAAGCAAGCAAGCAACCAACCCACTCAACTAACCAACCAACCAACCAACCAACCAACCAACCAACCAACCAACCAACCAACCAGCCAGCCAGCCAGCCAGCCAGCCAGCCAGCCAACAGCAGAAGGACATCTAAGATGGCTTCGATGAGTTCCAGGAAACGTGTTTTTTGATCATAAAGATTTCCGCTATGGGACTCAGGAGTTTAACGCGAACTACGCTATAAAGCCACTATGTAATGAGTACCCCATTTTCCTCTGGAGAAACTGTTGATTCCACTGCCGGGAGATGGTTTGTTTGCTTGGCAAACCAGCCAACCCACCCACCCACCCACCCACCCACCCACCCACCCAACCAACCAACCAACCAACCAACCAACCGACCAAACGGCCAAACGGCCAAACGGCCGAGACAATGCTATGGCCCAAGCCAATGCTATGCAGAAGCACTCATTCCTTGATTCGAAGGCTGAATCTATGAACCCATGAAATGAATTCGGTCGCTTTAGCAGGTTTTTTTGCTTACTTGCTGCCAGGTTCGTGAGACATACGTGTGTATATGTTTTTTTCAGGGACGCCTTGTCAAAGCATGAACCCACATACTCACCCCAATCTTGTTGCTTCATTCACCATCATGGCCAAAATATGGGAAGCCAGTCACTAAAGAGGTCGACAAAACCCAAGCAAGCAGTGTGTGGGTGGCTTATCCCAATTGGTGCGGGATTTGGTCCATGTGGGCCTCCGGATTGATCCGAAGCTAAGATGAATCCCTTTTCCCTTATGACACGTTCCTACTGAATCCCAGCCAGTATGGTGGGCTAACCATCCATTTTCCTTGTGGATGTTCGGATGACCCCTTGGTCGCCTACGGTTAATGGAATCACTGAGACTTTCACCGGCACAGACGTCCACCTTTGCTTACTTGACACAAAGGCTTCTTCTCTAACACGGAATCAAAGGGACACTGCTCTGCGTGGCGATAAGGACCCCACAAAAAGCCGATTGGTGTAAGGACCCCACAAAAAAAGGCGATTTGTGTTTTGCTGAGTGGGGAAACATACATTTCAACCAAGTTGAGCAACCAAGCGGACAAGCAAAGGTTTGCTCAGCCAAGCACGGGGTTTGTAAGGGGGGATGGTTCAAGGGGGGGTCCCTAAGGCTTTGTAAGGATCCTAAAGAACCCTAAGGAACTCAAGAGGGGCGCTGAACTACCCCCCCTCTTGAATGGTACCTACCTGGACCCTCCAAATTCCCCTATAGCAAACATGTGGTTGCCCCCAAAAACTTCTGGTTGGTGACTTCCCTTTTTCAAAAAAAAGTCCCTTGAGGGTCCAGTCCGAGTGCCCCCCGAAAGCGGCCCGCCCGGCGCGCTCGCAACGGGCGCCCGGCCACAGCTCGCAGCAGCAGAAGCAGCGACTGCCGAGCCTTGCAGGTGACCTGGCCGCTGCTTTGGCCCGGCCGGTCACAAATGCAACAGGCTTGCGGCAACGCGCCCTCCGCAAAAAGGCAAACAGTGAGCTTCACCTCTTGTGGGTTCAATGGAAAGCCAACCGTCGCAAGGTCCAACCCAATAGCAATCAAGAATGGGCTTCCGGTAGTTAAAACGGGGTGACCTTCCAGGGACCATCATGAGACAGGTCAACATGGTGACCTGTGGCAACCGGTCCAAAGCTCCGATGTTTCACGGGTGCCCAAAGAAATCGGTGACGATCGCATGGGTTATCCACGTTCCAAGTTGTCTCAAGTTTTCGGAGAAAAGCAGAACGCTAAGGACTGGAATCCGAGCAGGCGTTCTCATCCCCTAGCAGACGGTCAGTTTCGCCAGCCATGGCCACCCAAAGGTTCAAGGCAACGAGTTCAGCGCCTGGGAACTGAGGCAAAATGAGGTTCAAAACACCCGTGTTTCGCGGGGTTTTCGCGACCAGGGGGTGTCAACTGGGTGTGCCTCGTGTTAGGGGACCCCTCCAAAATTGTGGTTGTCATTGTAACACCCACAAAAAAGGGCACCCTCAAAAAATGGGTTTCCCCTTCAACCCCCCCCCCCCCCAAAAAAAAAAAAAGAAGAAGAAAGATTCGAAGAACAGAACAGAACAAAAAACAAGTGATCACCCTCACACAACAAACAGGCCCAACCAACTCCGTGCCCTCTGCACCCTTTTCGCTTTGCGTCGGGCTGCCCGGCCGGGGGCCGCTTCGGGTCGAAGGCGGTGCGAAGGAAGCGGTGCAGCTCCTCCGGCGACGCCGCGGCCAGGACCTGGCCCAGCGTGCCAGTGAACATCCGATTCAATCCAACCACTAGACCAAAATGGGTGGTGAATTCAGCTACCCCATGATGGGACCATTGGTTTTGACCCACTGCCATGCGATTTTCGGGGGTTGTCATTGTAACCCCGGAGTAAATAAAGCCCTGGTTGATCAATAGGGGGGTGGCCCTGGTTGATCAATAGGGGGGCGTCCCTGGTTGATTTTGATTGGGAACCCCTGGTTGATTAATCCTGTGGATGGTCGCAAAATCCATTTCGCACCACCTAAGAGACCCTGGAATCATCATTCCCTTGTAAATGCCAGCAACCAATGGCTTCCCAAGGTATCAAAGTAACCCCTCCCTAAGGGTCGCGATTGATTTTGGACCAACATGGGTTGTTTTTCAGGGGCCTTGCTCCATTGCAGGGTCCGGGGATCTGCATTGAAAGGGTCCTGACCCTTTGGGCCGGTTGGTCAATGGGGGGGTGTCCCCTTGTAGTGGGGATTCAGACCACTTTTGGAGGGAAGACCCCGCCGAAAGGTGGGACGGGTTTATTAATCCTCGGTCAACATTGGGTCGCAAGCAGCCGTGTGTTGAGCCCGTAACCAAGGGCTCGCGTCCATGTGACTCCTGCTGTTGCCTTGTTGCCCCTTGTTTAAGGGCAATTTCAGGGTATCTGGTTTTGCAGGTTGGAACCAGCCTTTAAAACCCGAAACCAAGGGCTCGAGTCTTACAGCGCGTAGAAAACCTCCCGCTTAAGCAAATCGAAGCTTTGTAGGTACCCAAGGGCTCGCCAGCCGACCAACAAAACAAGAAACTGGATCGAAGGGTCTCCTACAGTGGCTTGCAACTAGGACCTATTGGACATGTGAACCGGATGCCCGCAATTAGTGGGCGTGGTTCCGTTTTTTCTTCTTCTTTTTTTGGAGCCACTGGCAGTGAGCAAACCACTCAGCTGCCAGCCCAAGCACCAAAAGGTGTCGTTCGGCATGGCAGTCCACGCAAGAAGCTAACAATGGTTATGATGATGTCGAGAGTTCCATGGTAAGGCTTGTTCTTTGGGCATATGACCGTTTGCCACGTGAGCAGAGATCAGAATTTGGCAGATGTGGCACCACTCGGACCCATCTGGGAATAAGTGGAGAGTAGAGAAGTGCACGACTCTTCTCCAAAGCACATTGGGCGGTGGTGCATGGAACGCCAGGTCCATACCAAGCCCCAGGACCCAGGTAGGTCCTGGAAGAAGTCTCTTCGACATACTGTCGACACCAAATCCATGGGACTTGGAGGTATGAAGGCGAGCACAAGGCATTCTGGGCTTGTCTAAAATGGTTCTCATTGCCGTTGCGCGCCCACTCTGCCAACATGGGCAATCGGGGGCTGTCCCCTTTTTAGTGGGGTTTCAAGCAAATTTTGGAGGGGCCCAACCACTCTATTTGTAAAGCCTGATTACTAATCTGGGCTTGGGTGTTTGGCCCAGCTAGGAAGTTTCTGGCCTAGCTTATCCACTTGTAAGCCTCCTTAAGTGAGGCTAACCCCGTCCCTAGGTCAGAACCCAGGTGGTTAGCCAATACCGTCGGGCGCTCGTCTCGGCCTCCTCGAGTTCCCGCACGGCACGCTCCACCTACACCGAGTCCAGGCGATATTTCAGCCCAGGGGAACTATGGGCGTCCCTTGTTCGGAGGGTACCCCTTTTTTTGGGCTATACAAGGGAAACCGCAAAGGAACACCGCCTTCTTGCAGGTTACTGAGTCTGTGAAACCCAATCCGATGGTGTTACGTTTCGTTTCAAACCACACCCAACAGAGGAATCCCTAGAATAGGTGCACACGCCCATGATTGATTCAGTCGTGAACTAGGGGGAGTTCGTCGCTGGATCAACCCAACAGGCTTTCACACATAGGTCCTCAAAGTCAAGGGGTTTCCGATGCTTTCACCTGAATATGTTTTGATAGACCACGGACAAACCGTGCATTTAAAGCATATGAGGGGCCCTGCGGTGACGGATGCTTCAGGCTGGTTGACCCAGTGACTCGATGTCCAGTAAGTTCAAGGGAACCACCTTCAACCGGAAGGAAAACGGATCCAATACTGGCTTCCCTGTGATCTATAGAAGGCAAGAGACATTCACAGCCTCTCAGAGTACAATGAGGCTGAAGGAGACGGATTTCTGGAGAAGGTCCTTGGATTACGTCACGGTACCCGTCCGGCCAGCACAGAAATTGCTTCAAGCCGCTCAAGCCTGACCTCCCCTGAGGAATCTGTACAACATACCAACGCGACGCAGTCCAGTTCCATCGATCAAATCTAGATGGGTGTGTCTTTTGGTAGGGGAGTGTTCCTGTTGGAAAACCAGCCTTGAAGGGTACCCTCCAAAACATGCATCCACATTGGCCAGGGAGCTGGAGAAAAAGACTCGAAGTCAACCTGAATGGGGATGTGCGTGGCTGTGGCTTCCTCTTCATGGCGAATCAGTTGATGCTATCGCATTCGACATGAATTCCATCCAAGCTGGCGGTTTTGGGACTGGTCTGATGCTGCAAATGGGACAGAACCCCAAGTGCCACAAGACTCTGGTTGCAGAAACAAGAACGGCTGCTTTGTTTGTTTAATCGGATTTGACGCGAAAAATGAGAAACAACTGAAGCTCATTTCGCGGATGGGGGGTCAGGCCCCCTAGTTTGACACATACATGGGCTTGTCTCAAAATATGGACCCCAAGATGGGCTTGGGTGTTGTTTGGTTTCCCTGCAAACCACAAAACAAACTCACAAAAAAAGAACCACACCCACATTACTTCAAAGCCACACCTTCCGATTCTGACGCGGCTCGGCTTTTCTGAGCTCCGGTGCTGTGTGCTTGTGTTCCAGCCTCTCTAGGGACTGAAGCACCTCACGTGAGACCGGATTCTTGGCTTCGCGGATCCGAGCCCAGCTACTTCATCTTGGGGAGTGGTGTCTTCCCTCTGAGGGGGTGATTGTTGTTCCTTCTAGGGGAGGCTTCCTCTTAGGAAACTTGGGTTGCCACCGCTGCTGCTGGGCGAGGGGGGGTTGGTGGGGGGGTGCAAGATGTTTCTCCCAGCGCCGATTTTAACGTGTCGTGGAGGCCCCAGGTTCCTGATTCATGTTGACAACCACACACATCGTCACAGGTCCTCCAATGGGTGTGACACAGCTCGATCGATTGCCTTGCTTCTCCACCCAACTGACAACCACCCCAAAAGTCGAAACATGCCAGCATGGAGCAGGCTTTTGGTGGAGGGGTCAAAGTGCCTCAGTACCAAGAGCGTGGACAAGATCAGGGACCAGCCATAAAACCCCTGCAAGGCCTTCTTTGGCCATAAGCCCGAACCCAACCATTGGTACTGCAAGAAGCAGGCGGCCGGTAACCATGACTTCCACCAATCTATGGTAAGTCCCCCTGGATATTTTACTAGGGCCAATAACAACGTACCTGCGGTACCTGATGCATGCCCTGTTGAGTACGGTCCCTCCCTAGGTATCAGAACCGTGGCACCCCGCCGCTTGCTCACGCTGCCGCTGTCTAAGCTTGGCCCTGGCACGCGGTCGATCCCCACCAAGCACCGGGAGAGCAGGCGGAAACCATCGGAGATGCAGCGAAACAAGGCGCTCAAACCCGGGGAATGTCTGTAGCTCAACAAACCACAGAAATGAAATAAAAACAGCTTTGCCACACAACAGCGTCTACGGAAACTTGCCAAGCTACTGGAAAAATAAATAAAAATGTATACCTTCTGTACAGTGCGCAGATGAAATGCGACAAACCAACGGGAACGTCCGTAGACCATTCACCAACAAATTCGCCAACAGGGTAGACAAACGTTCGATTCTAAGGCAAGTAGTAAACATGCTGGGGTTCCTCTTCAGGTTCTGTTCAGGTGGTTTATGTTCGAAACAGGCATCAATTCAGTTTGTTACGTTCCCTTATTAGGAATCTTTTGACATGACGATCCGTTGTAATTTGCGCCAGACGTGTGCCCGGTATTTCAAAATGGGGAAGCAGGATGCGGCAAGGCTTGTTGGGTTCCATATTAGGTTCCATATTAGGTTCACGTTATGTCCTCTTCTATTTAGACATCCACATGGAGGCAATTTAGTAGTGCCCAAAACCAATTGACTTCTGGTTCTTACCTGACAGGAATTGCAATGGATCATGGGAATTACGATATCCCCAATTTAACGAGGGAACAGAACCACCTTCCTCAATTGTCCAATGCGAATCGGTTTTGGGCGCTGCTGAATTGTGCAATGAGGTGATTGGAATTGCCGGAGCCAACGCATAGCACATGGCTCAAAGGGGCCCTTGGCTTACAACCACTTAGCTTCGGATGTGCAGCGATGACCTTCCCACATGGCAAAGTCACCGCTGAATCCGTGATTCCAAATACCTCAGCTGCTGCCCGACAGTGCCACGGTTGTGGACTCCCAATCGCCGCAAATTGGACGGCGCACCGTGAAACCGTGAAGCTGAAGACCCATATCCCCGATACATACAACGTGGCATGGGAGCAATAATACCAAAAACTAGTTTAAACAACAAGACCCAAGCCCTTTTGACGTGAAACAAAAGGAGGTTGTTTGAAGAATATGCGCTCAAACATGTTTGCAAAGCTTGCTGAATCACCCATTCCTGGTGGGGTTCCCCAAACTTGTGTTCCAAAAATCCTAGGACTCACAAAAACATGTCAAATGCAAACAAAACCACAGATCCAAATGTGCGTCCTAAGGCAAGCCTGCTACACATTGGGCGCCCCGGCGCCACAGACGGCGCCCGCGTGGCCGTCCGCTTGGCTGTGGCTCCTGAAGCAAACTGGCACCCGAGCTAAAGCACGTACCCGAGTCTTGATGGAGTTTGGGGCTCCAACATCAGCTGAGTCACTTGCTCAAAACCCGGTACAAAAATGGTCGACCCAGAACCATGTAAATAACTCAGAAGGCGGCCGCAGCTATTTATGGTTGGGATCTGCCTGGGTTTTGATTATGGCTCAGCTGTTTTGTTTTGAGAGCCCTGAAGCAACTCGGGGACCCTCGAGTTCTGCATACCAAGCCCCAGGATTTTTAGGGTAGTTGTGTATCCCCCAAACAGTTCGATGGGTTTCGGGCCCAGCCAGGTTTTGAGACCGCCCAAACACTGGCCAGTCGTGTTTGCCTTCTCTTTGTCAGCACCGGTGTGGTGCCGGTGGTGTCTACCTTGTCTTTGTCAGCACCAGCATCCAGCAAGTCCTGCACAACTGCCTGATTGCCCTGGTTTGCAGCAACACGCAATGGTGTGCATCCACGACTGTCTGCCTTGTCTCTGTAAGCACCGGCATCAAGCAAGCACTGCACAACTGCCTGATGGCCCTGGTTTGCCGCAAGGCGTAATGGTGTGGAGCCCATGTTGTCTGCCTTTTCTTTGTCAGCACCGGCATCCAGCAAAAGCGCTGCACAACTGCCTGATGGCCCTGGTTTGCAGCAAGGTGCAATGGTGTGCAGCCCGCGTTGTCTGCCTTGTCTTTGTCAGCACCCGCATCCAGCAAGCACTGCACAACTGCTTGATGGCTCTGGTTTGCAGCTAGGTGCAATGGTGTGCAGCCCGCGTTGTCTGCCTTGTCTTTGTCAGCACCGGCATCCAGCAAGCACTCCTTCCAAATGGCCAGTTGCAGAAGCATGTAACAAAGGTGTACCATGCTGCCTCTCCAGCAGCATCGGGATCATGAGGCTTATCTAACAGCTCTATCATATGTTGCAGGTCGCCACTTCTCGCCGCTTGCAGCAAGTCCATGCAATTTGCCAGACCATCTGCTTCACCTGTCGATGCTTCAACATATTGCCGTTTAATCACCGTCAGGCACTCAGCATTCTCCCACGCACTCTTTGGCCCCAACATGCCATGGTCGCCAACTAGCCCGAGCTGCCTGAAATTTGCCACCAATCCCCATCCTGATTTGGTCAGTCGCCATGAACAATTAAACAGCCCCGCTTGATGTTTTGCTGTTGGTTGATCTGAAAGGAAAACCCGAAAAGACAACCGGGTACCAATGGGCAGCTGGGAGTCTCTTCGCCAGGTGGGTCGCAATGTGTCAAAACGACAATCCACATCTTCCTGTTTGCACAGCTCGTCCCGCCACAGGGAATACTCCTCCGTTGTCATCACATCTGTGCCATCGAGCAAGCGAACGCTTGCCATGAGTGAACTGGACACGCCGCAACTCGCGCTGAATGCGTCTGAAGCACTGTGTGTGTGTGTGTGAGTCAGCATGCTCGTATCCGTATGGTTTGAAGTAGGCGCACATTTTCGAGAAAAGCAACAACAGCAACGCAAACGCAGAACATAAACATGTACGGTTCAAACTCCAGGCTTCCTTATATCATCACTCATCACTATATGGCCCAAGCTCAAATATTTGTGGGCCTTTCCAAAAGATAATGATTGAAGCACCCCATTCTGAAAACCATTCATGAAAACACAACAACACCAACACGCAACCGAAAATGTGAGTTTCAATATCCATGGCTTCCAAACATGTCTCCGGTCATTAAAAAAACACAAAAGGATTTGCGGCCTTTCCAAAAGTTCATATATCAACCTGCTCGAACATCACCGCTTCGCTCAGTTGCTCCGTGTGCACTTCGGAACATTGGCAACATCGGTTCCTTTGCTCGCCGACCTGGCCAACAGGGGCGCCAGCAGACCCAGATGGATTCCCATCCCAGTCTGAGATTCCACTTCGCAGCAAAGGACGCCATGTCAAAAGCAGGACATCATTCACGGTACCAACTTCAAATTCATCCTTGCCCCCACCCCCCCCCACTCGCAGAGGAAATGTCACGGTCGTTCAAATGGGTGTGTGTCAAGATAAGGGCCCTCGAGCGAGGTGTCCAACGCAAAAGTCTGGGTCTTCTATTCCAGTCCAGGGCAGCTCGAAAACCTAGAGGTAAATCGCCAACAGGGTCTAAGCTTTTCAGGCTTCATGGGAAAGCCATTTTCCAAAACGTCCTTTTGCCATATGCACCCATTGGATCCCAGCCATGTCAAGGGTGTGCACGAGCTCGCAATACACAGATATGCCAGAAGCATGTCCACGCCCCACTGAAAAGAAATGGTATGTCTTACGGACCCAAGGGACCTGGAAATCAGAAATTAAGCAGCCTCTCTCCGCCGCGTCAGTTTGCTCATAGGGACTAGAACCCTAACTGTGGGTTGTGAGGCTTGTCGTTGACCAAGCTGAGGCCAAGGTTGGAACCTTGAGCAACATCGGACCACTGGACAGTCCAAATGCTGAAAAGGTGTTCTCGCTCTGGAGACCCACCAAACCTTTGGCTCAAAGGGGCATGCGTGGTGTTTTTGAAAGCCACAAAAACGAGCTCACCACCAACGCAAGCAAATGGGTCTGTCTCAAAGGGGTTCCCTTTTTGGATAGGGAAAGAAAAAGGAAACCAACCATAAGAGGTCCCTAATTTTGAGAAGCACCCAGTTGCCATGGGTTTTGGGTTCGTCCATCCGATCGAATCCGGTTCGAGGACCTGCAATGCGCGGAGACCTAAAGGAACTTGGGATCGATTCCATTTTCGCCATGTAACCAAACAAGGCAAGTTGAGAGTGGAATCCGAAGAAGAAATTGGATAAAGGGGTGTCTGCCTTTTTTTGAGAACTTCCCTCAGAGAAAACATCAAGAACCCAAGCATTTCAGTGACGTTAATTCGCCGGTGCTACCTTTTGTCCATAGGGCCTCTGGCTAAGCGTGGCAGCTAGCCGGGACAGCCGAAACCCCCGATCGCCAGCCCCGCCCGACGGCTCCTCCTTTCCGGCGCTCCTGCAAATACTGCCTGGCAAAAGGACAGAACATGCCGTATGGCATGTCCTTGCGACCCCTCAAAAAAAAGGCTTTCAAACGTGTGGGTGAATCCATGATAAATCTGTCTCCTTCCGTTTGACCCCTAACGAATGAGAGGGAATTCTTGGTGAAAAGCGAGAATCATCGCATGATTCACCAACTGAAAGGAAGGGAGCCTTCATCGGTCGAAATCGCGGTTCCTGCGCCTTCTGCCCTCTGCGGAGGAATATATGTTGCCCTCTTGCTTGGGAAATTGATCCCGGAGCAGGCTAGGTGTGAGAGAAGGGGTTGGGTTGGTTGAGGGGCGGCCTCTGAACCGACCCGAAACACCGCCGCAATCCTCAACCTCCCCTGAGCACGAGCCTCAAGCAGCCTGAAACCCTGGTGCGAGTTTTGAGTCGGTTCAGGGTGGGTTTGTAGTTTATTCTCGGCTGGGTTCAGGATTGCTTCCCTGTTTTCTGCTATGAGCTTGCGTCCCTTGCCTTCTTGTTCTTGCGTGCTTCCTGGCTCCCAGCTGCCCAAAGGACCTGGAAATAGAAGGTGGTCGCCTTTTGGGGCCGCTACATGTGTGTGATTTTGATCTCTTTCTTTTTTTGTGGGGGGGGGGAGGCTAAAGGGTCGTTTCAGGTCAATTAGCTTTGAACGAGTAAAACAATCTTCCAAACATCCCAACGGGGAATCGAGATATCCCGCCAGTCCGTGAGCCCCCAAAAGTGCAAGCCTTTCCAACGCAAGTCATAGCCCCTGCCTAAAGTTTCATGATGCTTCTTTTCGCGGGTAGTTGAAGGACAGCAAACGGAAACCCGAAAACCATGTTGGGGCTGCCCCCACCCCCACACACCCATGTCGGGCAACTTGGAGTTGAAAACACTGGGTTGTGGAATTCGTTCAAGCAAGGAACCTTCAGAAGGCCACAACATCTCATCATCCCCTCCCGCCCTCCAGGCCCTCTTGGGAAGCTCTGCAAAACCAGTGTTGCTTCAACCAGGATCGCAACTCTGCGGCAGTTCACCAGGCCATTGACCCCGGAGGCCCCCAAAAAAACACCCACGGCTCGACCGGGAAGCGCGGCTGCTGGGCACGTGCTCGGCCTGTGAAAAGCGGGCCACGGCCAGAGATGCAAGCTTGGTTTCCACTGCTCAAACCACCCAACCCTCAACCCTTGGTGCAAAGCCAGAGTTGTGATCCAACCGGAGTCGTAACGGGCCCACTTTGTGAGGGCATCAAGCATTCCAGAAGCTTCCAGCGCCTTGAAAGGGTTCGGGTGGCCCTTCACCGTAGCATCTCCTGGCTCAAAAGTCCCAAACTCCATGTGCCAACTTGGGACAGGGACACCAATCAGGGGAATCTGGATTTGGTTTGTGCCCTCAAGTTGGGGTAAGAGTCGCTAGTTAGAGTCCTCATCCCCAGACTCCATGTTGGGAACACTGACCACCATGTGCGTGGGCCATTTGGAGGGTAGATGTGAGTAAATGCGCCACACATGAAGTGCTTGCGTTCCTGCAATAGGCAGACCGTGGATGACCACGATTTGGCATTCAGACTATTGAAACGGTGCAGATCACCTGACTATTGTCACAAAACACCCAAACAATTCCCAACCTGAAATCTGACTTGCTCAGCTCAGTGTGCTTTGATCACAGCTCCCTTGAACCCGATGGGGAAGAGGGGTCTGGGGAGTTTGCCGCTTCCTCAGGTCCCTGGCATCAGCTTATGAACCCTCTTCGGGGTTGCCATTGTCGGTGGGAACCCACCACAAAGGGATTTAAGAGGAGCCACTGAACAATCCCAGAATAAAACAAAACACCTGGGGGGAAGATGTGTTCTGGGTGTGGCGCTTTATTAAGGGACCCTTTGGTGGACACATGCCCAGCAACCATTTTCTGGTGGTTGGCCTGGCTAAGGAGCACCCAACATTTCGCATGCCACACCCCAGAGTCGTGTATCAAGGGCCAACCCTGTTTTCGGACTTCCGTTGAAACCCAGAAAGGGGAAGGGGCATGTAAGCGACTTCCTTAGCCGAACTTGTTGCTTACCAAAATGGTCCAACCCTAAGGGTCATGACCCCTCCAATGTAGACCCCCAGGTTGTCCAATGGAGAACCCCGACCCCTCAGGGGTTTTGGAAATTAGTTTTGAGGGCCCAAAATGAATGGGGACCTTAGGGAAAGCACAACAAAAGTGACCAAAGCCCGAGACGGAACTCAGGAAGTGAGGTCATGAGATGGATCGGAATCGGTTGAGGCCAACTGCAAGCACTCCTTCCAGGGTCTGCGCCACCCGCGGAGCCTAAGCCGGGAGGAGAAGCCAAAAAGCGCGAAGGAGAAAGCTAGACTCGCCCAGTTCGTCCCTCAAATTACAGGGAGGGGGGGTGTGGAAAGGGGTGAGGTTCCCCGAAAGTCAGGGGTCATGACTCACGACCCGACTTTGTGCCAGCAAGGAGACAACTTTGGGGAAGACTCCAATTTGCTCCTCACACACAAGATACGCAAACAACAGGTGAAGTCACCGGAACACCCCCCAAGTCATGGGAGGGGCAACCCATGGCCTTGGTTGTCACCCAGTGGTACGCGCCGACATTGCGCCGACGGTTTGCTCGCCAAGAACATCTGCAACACCTGCAAACAGGGCCAACATGTAAGATGGTCCGAAACGTCGACATAAACTCACAGAAGACGGGGCGTGTGCAACACTGATGCCTTGGAATCCCTCCGCTCCAAAACAAACATCCCCGGCACGCCTTCCCAAAGTGTGGGTTACGAACATTTCCGCAAGCCGCAAGCCAGGCTGTGCCGCAAGCCGCAAGACGCCAGCCGCAAGCCGAGCAGCGCTGGTGGGCCGCAAGCCGCCCCGGCTCGGGGACTTCTCCAGCATGCCCCCTGCACAGAAATGGACGAAATCCGGTCGTGCCACGAAATGAAACCATTGAAACCCATTGTTTGGTTGGTACCGGGGAATCAGCATTCTAGGGTTTCTTAGGTACAGGAATTCGTCCATCCATGACTTAGCACCAGGTGGGGGGCTTCCCATGACTTAGCACCAGGTGGGTGCTGTTTCGGTCGGACCAACGGCGCCGCTCACACATGGGTGATAAGGCGTCAAATTGCGTGACAGGGGTCTCAAAAGAAACTCATACTCTCCTCTTCTTCCTTTTATGGGAGAGTAGGGCCCAAACCCAGACCGGAAGCTTCTCCCAAATTGCCGGAGGTCTCTGCCCGGCCACCGTCTCCAAAATCCTTGGGATTCACGAACAAAGGCCGTTCAACAAGGATGAATGCTTACTTACGAGGAACCCGCATGATTCTCATTTTATATCCCTATGCATTGGCCATGACCGTGCCCGCCAACCACAAGAAAGTTGCTTGATGCAGAGCTAGGGTGCCTAGTGGTCACCATGTGCAAAGAATCGAACTAAAGGCCTGTAACACTTCAATACTAGCCCCAGTCGATCCGATTCCTTGCTGAAAAATATCATTTTTGCTTTTTGACAAGTTCTTCTCTTGGTTGCCTACAACACAGGTAAATAGAGTGACTGGCATTGGACATTTGGCATGACACCCTTCCCGGACAAATGCAAACGCTCGGCCATGGACGAAAATAGTCAATCCGTGGACTTCCTTGCAACCAGCTTATCGGATAAATCGGAAGAAGAGTAGCAAAATGAAGCGAGTCCCTTTGCAGCTGGTACTTGAAGCCCCTTTGCCTACCGTGTGTTACAAGCCCCCTGCCCAAAGCCAATCAACCATGCAGTAGACACCTGCCAAGACCCTCTCAATCTGCAAACCAGCAATACAGCACACGAGCAACAGCGTGGACCAACTGGACCACTCGTTTGAGAAACCTCCACAATATTTTGGTTGGACCTTGTATCTAGATGAAGCTGCACAAATGAAAAAGGTTCCTCTAGGTCAATAAACCTGCAAAATGGACAAGCTCATCTAAATCAAGGAAACTGCAACATGAAGAGGTTCATCTGAGCTGACCTTTGGTTCTACGAAGCTGGTTGTAATGGTTTACACAGGCCGTACCAAACACCTGTAAGAAACCAGGTAGTAGAACCAACTTGAACCAACTCTAACATGGCCGTTTTGGGAGTCCGTTTTGGGACTCCGCTCATCTGACCTTCTGCAGCTCTTCAGCCGGAACGAAAAACCGAAAAAAGAACTCCCTGGCCTTCTCCGGCACGCCGGAACGCTTTGAGCCGAAGCCGTCCAGGCCCCCCGAAACGGGCAGATTCTCGTGTGGCCACTGCTACGCAGGTGTTGGTCTTTGGTTCAGTTTACCCAGGTGCCATTTTGGTACATTTGTTTGAGCCACTGCCATATATTGGCCACCTGCTCGGGGTACCCAAATACAAATCCAGTGGGATTCCTTTTGGTCAGGCTTCCTGTTTCAAGTGAAACAGCAGGCGAGACGTCCATGGTGGCTTCCCTTTGGCTAGAGGAATTTAGCTCATAAACTCTGCCCAAAGCGAGTATCAGCCATGGATTTCAAGTGCAGACTTCCTGCCTCTAAACGAAAAAAATGCGATTCAAAGTTTCAAAAGATTGAAAGTTTGGTGAGGCCGGGAAGCTGTTTGGAACAGTCCGTGGCACAAGGAATTGTCACAGACTTGTTAGCAACTTGGATCCAAACTGTGGATTGGGATTCCCGCACCCAATCAGAGCACCAACTTCGAACAAAACCTGAAACTTATCAATATCACGACTCCGCCCTCTCCATTCGGAAGGGTCGCGAAAACGAATCCTGCTGGGCCGAGGGAATTTCCCTCGTTGAAAAAAGGGGGAAGCCAAGCAATGACAACAGCGACCTAGGTGACTTCAAAATGGCAGGAAAGCAAACGAGAAGCGGAGACACCATGGTAAACCCATAGTGCAGGAAACACACAGATCCAAATCCCTCTCTGGACCAAACAAAACAAGCCTCTTCGGCCCTTTGGACGCAAACAAACCAAAAGCGACCCAGACTGTGGATGAGGTTGTTCATCCCAATAGCAAGGATTCCCACCCGAACTGGGGGCCTGCGTGGATTTTGTCCATCTGCAGGGTGCTGGGAAGCAAACGTCAAACAAAACACTTCGATCCAAACCAAGCTGTTTTCAGGGGACCCCAAACTGGCGCAACGGTTCCTTTCAGACCACAAAAGGTACCAACCAAAAGAAAGGAACCACCCCAAACGTGGGAAGTCCAGGAAACCATTCGCCCGGGCGCAGGAAGACACCATCCAACTCCGTGCCCCGCACAGAGTCCAGCACCTCAGCAAACGAATGGCCCATTCGGCGGAAGCAATGAGCGATCAGCGCAAAGCCACAGTAAAGCGACACTTTCGTCGGATCGGTCTGATCAGAAATGCGATGCTGGTTTGGAGTCTCTGGGTTTGGGGTCTATTTTTTCGAGGGGTTTCTCGTGATTCTTCGCTGCTTGACACTTTGCCCGCCACTCCATGAAGAAGAGCTTCTTCAGGGCGGAAAGAGCCACGAAACATGGCCATTAAATTTAAGAGTTGCAACCTAGCGGTGGATATGTGGAATCGCTACCGAGTCTTGTTGAAAGGACCGCAAATGGGTAAGGGACCGTTGCTGCTCGGTTTTCTGTAGCATTGATGGCCCAATGAATGGTGGGATGTTGCTGAGTGACCCGATTAATGAGACAGGCCCGGTTGGCGAGCGTATGGACAGAGACTATGGCACTCTCGAATTGCCGTGATGAGGTTCCTGTCTCAGCGTGCGAGGGCCCATATTCAGCGTGGTTGGGCCAGAATGCTCCATCATCAACCGTAGGTAACTTCATCCACCTTGAGAGACAAGAAACTTAGCAACGGGACCAACCAACTCTTCGGCAACATGCAGACCAGCACGTTTTAGCAGTCAAGCCAAAGGACCTTCGTTAGGCAGACTGGTTTTTGCGCTTCCATGGTGTTAGTGTCCTTTCCTTTCTTTCTCGAGTTGAGTTGTTGTTTTTGTCCCAATAACACTGTAAACACGAACCGCACACACAACCAAGTTAAAGTAGCGTAATCAATTCTAATTGTATCATCTCTATAAGCATCTAGGGCCCTCAAGGCCCTTGAACTGAGGTCAAAAACCAAAACCAATGGTCCCTATAAGTCCCTTGAATGGAGGGTCTGAAAATTGATGCGGATATGATGCCTTCCTCCGGTTTACCCACGCTCTCTGTAACGCTCATGGACTCGGGTCCGGCCAGGGCCACCGATCGAGCAGTCGAGAGCCTTTGCCCCAAGCGGGATATAATGTTGGTCCGATGGAGGACATAGTCAGAGGAACCTCCAAAACAAAACGAGTTCTCATACTAAAAGTGAAGCACCAATAGTCTATAACAAGCTCGGCCCGCAATAATCCGAAGTGAACAATAACACGTCGGAGCCGATTGGCTAGTTTTCCCAGGGATCCCTAGTTGAACACATTGGATTGGAGCTTGTACTTTGGGTCGTGTCTATTGTGTGTGGTTTCTTTTTGGGACTTTCTGAGGCTTGCCTTGTGCAACAAGCTCTCGGGTTTCCTTGGCTGGATGGGTCCCTTGCTCCTGCCAACTCAATGAACCCCCAAAACGGATCCCCCCCCAAAAAAAGAAACCACGCGGCTTTCCCCTTGTGGCGGATCTTCCATGCATGTCTCATCATGTCTCTGAAAACCACCGGCTGGTATCTCTCCCTTCACGCTCCACCGAACAGACCTTTGGGCCTATCGACAAAGCTCCCCATCCTGCGGCCCAGGCAGATCTCCAGTGGTCCACCTCTCCCATGGAATGCTGCGCCGAGACCTGACAGCCAGAAGCCAAACAACCGCCGCTCGCCTCTCACTCGAACACGTGGGTTAGCCGGCGTCCGGACCCTGGACATGAGCTCCAAAAGAGGGTCCTGTCTCGCCAAATCCCCTTTGAACCAAAAACTCATTTGCGCTATAGCGCTACATCGAGGTGCTTTCGGGCAACCCCAATCAGCCCGAGTCCGCACAATCAGTCACTTCGCTCCTGGACCCCAGGTATCCCACCATCCCTCAGCAGCTAAGGGAATTGGCCCTTTTGATGTTAAGCGGCGGTCATCCTGCCATCGCAGTGACTGGACACACTCGGGGTAGTCTTGGGCGCCTTCTGGAAAGCCTTTGAAAGTTTCCGCATTAAGTTCGCCACTTCTTTCACCAGAGGTCCCTTTCAAGGGCACGTTACTCTGTGGAGTGGGTAGTAAACCGGGCTGTACTTGCCATGCCGAGAGTCTGCAGCGCAGAATGAGGACTACTTGCCACTTCCCAAGCTTGGAGTGGTATTCCCAAGCGCCTTCAAGACTCTTGTGAACTGGGATTTCAAGTTGCCCTGTCGGATTTGAGAACAACCTAAAAGGACAACTTGTGGCCCTTCTGGCGCCAAACGTCGACGAACTTGCTATACTTTACCAAGGGCCGTTTCGATGTTTTCCGGGGGCAGGGCCCGGGGGTTCAAATCCGAATCCAGCAATCCAAACGCTACCTGAAAGATGGGCATTCAAACTATGAAGATTCCGGGTCATTGGATTTATCCACACTTCGGCACGTCCGTTGAATTTGGCCTGCCCTTTGCACAAGGAGATGCTATCTCAAGGTGACCCAGTAGGTGACCGAAAAATGCTCCGCGCTCGCTTCCGTGGGCCCCAGACGTCGTAGAGCCAAAAGAGGGGCAGGCCTTTCGAGCCCTGGCAAAGCGAAGGATGGCAGTGCTCCAAATATTCGGCCAACCGAATCGGCCAGAAACCGTTGCATCCGATTTTGGGTGAGACATGGATGAGACCAGACATTTGCATCTGACTTTTGGAGATATATCTTGCATGGGACCAACAACCCTTGCATCTGTTTTGTAGCTGACACATGTGGATGAGTTTAGACATGGGATTCAGCATGAAAAATCTGACGACTTTCCCAGACATATTCAATCGGCGGGTGCTCGCGGAGAGCGAACCCATGGCGACTGTTTTTTCTTGAAGAAGGCGTCTGCTTGTAATTGGGATACGCATTGTGGGTTGCAATATCCAATTTTTGAGGGTGTTTTGAGGGTCCAGGTGTTGGGTTTCAGGTTGTGGCTGATCAACTCTTGGACTACTGGGGGAGGTAAGAAACATGCTCATCAGAACTCGGTTTCAGCCTGGACCAACACCAAGATGGCGGTACCCACTTGTGATGAGTAACCTCCAGTAGTGCAGTAGTTGGATGCACTGACCAAAAGGCACCTAGCAAGCTCCACACCCATTCTCGTAGCCACGCTGGATTACCTGGAGATGGCATCCAAGGTATGACCCCAGTGCTTAGCGGGACTGGACAGGTGTGCAGTATGGCACACAAAGAAACTCAACTTCTCGCAGGAGGTCATCGCTTTTGTCGAATCTGGTTACCTTTCGAAGCTGTAGGGACCGCTGCTGTTGGCACATGTTGTTGGTCTTGCTCTGGGGCAGCATGACAAAGCTCCCCACCTTTGGCACGGCGGCTTCCCCATTCCGCACTCAAGTTGGCTGGCTGTGTCAAGTGGTTAGTACTCCAGGTCACCCCTTGCCTTGCTAAGCCGACTGGCTAACCAACCCTCCAAAACGAGACTTCCAGGGGCCACTGCACTGAACATAACCAAAGTCCATGCAATCGCCTCACGCCAGAGGGCGGTGTGCTGGCCATACTGCTGGTGGATGTACTTCAGGTCGTCCAGGAACCTGAAGCTTCAAACTCCGGTGCTTGGGCTTGCCTTTGAACGAGGGGGAAGTGCGTGGCTCACCTTGTGCTTGACGCCCTCAAACTAAGTGCCCGGGCCACCGAGAGTTGATTTCACCGTGCCGGCTCCGGGAGGCCAAACGCCTCTAAAATATGTGACCGACCAAGTGGTGTTTCCCAAAATATGGATCCCATGAATGGCGTTCCTGTGGGTTGTTGTCACTTAAAGGGGTGATTGGGGCAAGGAAAGTGGTTGCCGTGCTAAAAAATGAGGCAGTTGGAGAAAAACATCATGTTCATCCTGTTGTGGTTACCTTTTGAATCAATCAACAACGATGCGCTATTCAGCACTCAGAGTAGAAACCATCCCAAAAGAAGCTATCTACTGTGGATGGACAACATCCTGCACTAGTTGGTGGGTGGCCACCACTGGGGGTGCAGGATGTTGTCCATCCACAGCAACTCACTTCGAGCGCTTCTTTACTACCGAATTGAATGTTATGGAATAGTTTACCCTTGGATGAGATGCCTATATCCTAACATACCCCTTAAAGCCCTGTATCCAAGAATAATCCAGGAACTCAAAGGGCGAATTGACTATGATGAGCCCACGATCCTATCTAACAATTGCGGACACCTGGGTGGTATAGGTTTCCAGCCATCACTCACCGTGGATACAAGGGTGAAAGGGTTCTGCAAAGTGAACATGCCTGAAGGAAGCGACTGCTCACAAAGGACTGTATGACGCGAAGCCCGAGGTTGCAAAGATTCACAACTCCGGTGATAAGACCAATGGGTTCTTTAGCCTTGGAAGACAAGCAGCTGCTTGAGAGTCCAGGAAGACAACTCCTCTTGAAATTCGCCGTTTGCCTCCAAACTCCCCTACGAGGTCCTCCAGCAGAGAGGTTAGAACAAGGGTACCCGATTTTTTGTATGTAGTCTATTTTAGTGGGGGAACCGAATCTCCCCCAAAGAAGAAACGGTAAAAGAAACGGCACTGGGGGACCTAGCGAAAAAAAATCAGAGACAAACAGCTAACAGCTCACAGCTTGGCTTCTCAGGTCCTGGCGTGAATGGCGAGCGCCCGCCATAGGGCTCAATGTGGAAGGACCTGGGGACTGGTCCCCTCGAACGATCTTGAGGCCGACAGCCCTTTTTGAAGTGGTTTCAAAGGGAAGTGATTCAATGGGAACCCGCGCATTTGGTCCCCTTTGACACACGGGACCCGTACCTGGTCGCTTGAACATGTTGCGGGTACTGTCGTTCAAATTGTTGACTCCGGTACCTCCAGATTTACGAATCATTTGCCTAACTCGCCAAAGCAAGCAAGACTCAGGCCACCAAAGGCCAAATCCGTACTGTTGTCACTGGAAACCGACTATGCCATACGTAGATCAATAGGGCCAACGCATGATGCACAGAGTGATTCAGAAAAATAGCCGCTGGCGACCTTCTAAGCAGACAAGGAAGCAGTCTTGACCCGAAAAAGGCCGCGTTCAAAGGAAGAGCTGCAAACGAACACCAACAGGTTTTGGCCAACTTTGACCGACAAAAAATAACTCGGCAAAGCCTTGACAAACTTTCAAATGCTGTGTCAGCCCTACACAAGTTTTGGAGTAAACCGTTTCAGTGCTTGAGCGATACCATGGGCTTGAAGCCGCCCACCGGACATGCAAATCCATTTGTTAGATGCCGTCGTCTTGCTACATAGCCATATTGACATGGCCGGATTAGACTGCAACATGTGCGGAATAGTTTGCCGACCAAATCAATAAATTCATCCCTACAGCAGGGGGAATAATGACAACCACAGCACATTGTGTGTCTGACTCTAAGTACCTGTCGTCACGTGATTCTACCATTCCTCGGGGCGGAATCAAGCACGCCCAAAACCCATTGACTATTTGTCTTCTACCAAGACAGTAAAGGGTTTGGGAAATGGTTTTGGACCCCACTGCTTCATGTGTTCCAGATTCGAAAGCTGAGTTGCGGACACAAAGACCCCGGCGTCCGCTGCCGCCTCGCGCGCTCACGGAGCTACTATTCACCCCAATTCAACATATACTTTCATACCTTCCAAAAGCACGGGGTATGTACGATCAAAGGATCGATGAAGGTTCCATGCAAAAGAGCCCAATTGGCATTTACCGCGCAAGTTGCCTTAACACACCTTCTGAGGCACAACGACTTAATTCAAGTTTAGAAGCTTGAAAGTTGGAATTGGACAAGTCACAGTTTGAATGGGCATGTCCGAAAACATGAAGAACTAATCAAGGATATCCTTTTTACAGGTGTGTAAAGGGAAACCATCAGGCAGCCAACCAGCGTCTGCAATTCAACCATTTCTGAAAGTCCAGGACAGAGGCTGAATCAAGGTCCTCCCCGATGCAGAATAGTTGCCATGCTTGTGACATGTCCTGAACACATGTAGGTGAATGTTGCAGTACCATGAACTCGCTAATTTTGGTCTCTTCAATCAAGCCAAGGTGAATTGAGCGCCAGGACCATCAACAGAAGCACGCACCCAAACGCGTCCACATGTTGTTGAAACCTTTTCCTGTTCAAAACTCATGATATTTACCAAGCGACGGAGAGCATCAATTGGAGGAGCGTGTTGATATCCGCGAAAATCATCCCACTCCAAAAACGCAATATTCAATACACGTCATGTAACACGGTTGCTCAGAAACCCAATCACTAAATTTGACAACCGTTTTCCCTCCAAACAGGTTCTATTCCAAAGTCCCAGAAAAGCCATCCTCATGGGCGAATATGCAGTTCATGGAGTGCCTGAGATACGTCCGGCGCCTTTGTGGAGTTCATTTGACCCCCGCTTCCTCTTAATTATGGCAAACGCACTGGAGCCGACCACGTTGCGGAAGCTGACCAAAGGTTGGCTCTTTGGATGAGATCCAAGTGAGGGGCAGATATCTTGGAGCGATTGGTCCCAAGTAAGCATACATGCCCGGCTTTGCGCCCAAAACCCTCTGTATTGAGGCTGTCGCTACGTCAGCTTCCAAGCCTCCAAGTGACCAAAAAACAATCAGCAGCCGAGGACTGAGCCTACTGGATTCAGCTATGGCCCCAAAAGATGATTTCCACTACCCCCAAACTACTACCGGGTGCAATTGGGATATACAGCCACTACCACTGCATGAAGCATGCATACCCGATTTTTGGAGGTTTGGCGGTAGTGGAAACCATCTTAGAAAACTCACTTTCTGAGGGCATTGGCCAAAAGAACGCCACGCGTTTTTTGTTTACCACTAAACTGGTCCAAACCCAAAAAGCAGCAACTGAGGGAGTGAGCAGACCTCCAGCTGGCTCGAAAGCGTTGCCCAGACCTCCAGCACGGATGGCATCAGCTCATCGGTGTTCGCACCTGGGCATTTGAGCACGTTTGGGAGATACAGGGAATACAGCAAGTGATGTGCACATCCTATATTCACGTATCTGTATATATATATACATATATATATATATATATTATTAATATATACATACTTGTGCCTGCCTGTGCTCGCAGGTTTTGGGTGGATTTCGGGTGAGTTTAGATTGGTTTAGGCTGGGCTTAGGGCTAGTTTAGGGGAGTTTAGGTTGTTTAGGTGGGCCCAAGGTTGGTTCAGAGTTGCTGTAGGGTTGGTTTTGGCTTAAGGTGGGCTTAGGTGGGTTCAGGGTTGGTTTAAGGTTGGCTCAGAATTATTTTGGGAGTTTAAGGTAATTGGTGGCTTGGCGTTCTTTAGTCTTCGCTTAGGCTTGGCTCAGGCTGGCTTTCTGCACCTTGGGCGAAAAGGGGAAAAGGTGGGAAAACGGCTGGTTTCTCGTGAGTTGACAGTAGGCTGGTCTGGGGTGGGTTTGGAATGTGTTTAGGGGGGTTAGGGTGGGTTTAGGGTGGGTTTCTGGGTTTACGGTGGGTTTACGGGGATAGTTTAGGGCGGCCTTAGGGTTAGTTTAGGGTGGGCTTAGACTTGTCCGCCGACATTGCTCGGCGTGTCGGACACCTAAGAGAGGATAGAGGATAACCCCCCCCCCTAACCCCCCCCCACCCGACGTCTGATACGTGGGGGGGGGGCCCCCCCCCCCCCCAAGGACCGCGCGGCAATTTGATGACGTTCCACTAAACGTAGTCTTCGGGGACCCGGTGTCGCAAAACAAGGGTCCCAGGCTCGATTCCCCCTGCCGGCTTTTTTGCTGGCTTGGGCTTCCTGCATCCTTTTGCCGAAAATCTGGAAAAAACTCTGTGTTTTTGGACATCATCTTTGCGAAAACGCTGAACAACAGTGTTTTTTTGCGGGAAATACTGGGGAGCAAAGGGGAAGTGCAAGGATACATACATACATACAGACATACATACAGACAGACATACAAACATACATACATACATTACATTACACAACATCACATTACATTACTTTAAATTACATCGCATACATACATACATACATACATACATACATACATACATACATACATACATACATTACATTACATTACATTACATTACTTCACATTACATTACATTACATTACATTACTTTACTTTACTTTACATTACATTACATACATACATTACATACATTACATACATACATACATTACATACATTACATTACATTACATTGCATACATGCATACATGCATTACATACATACATACATACATGCATGCATACATACCTATACTATACATACATACATACATACATACATACATACATACATTACATACATTACATTACATTACATTACATACATACATACATACATACATACATACATACATTACATACATACATACATACATACATACATACATACATACATACATACATACATACATACATACATACATACATACATACATACATACATTACATTACATTACATTACATTACATTACATTACATTACATTACATTACATTACATTACATTACATTACATTACATTACATTACATTACATTACATTACATTACATTACATTACATTACATACATACATACATACATACATTACATACATACATACATACATACATACATACATACATACATACATACATACATACATACATACATACATACATGCATACATACATACATACCATACACATACATACATACATACATACATACATACATACATACATACATACATACATACATACATACATACATACATACATACATACATACATACATACATACATACATACATACATACATACATACATACATACATACATACATACATACATACATACATACATACATACATACATACATACATACATACATACATACATACATACGAGAGAGGGAGATTGGGGAGAGAGTGACTTGGGGGGATGGGGAGGATGGGGAGCGGAGGGAGGGAGAGAGGACGACAGAACACACCAGGGAGACAAGGGAGAGAGGAAGAGGGAGAAAAGGGAGAGGACAATGTCGGCGGACTGAGCCGGAGGCTCTAAAGTTTAGGGTGGTTTTAGGGTGGGTTTAGGGTTGACTTAGGTTGGTTTAAAGGATTTGGGGTGGGGTTAGGCTGCGTTTAGGTCTAGGTGGGTTGAGGGTTGGTTTAGAGTTGGTTTAGAATGTGTTTTTGGGTGGGATTTAGGGTGGGGTGGGCTTAAGTTGCTTGCTTGCTCGCTTGCTTGCTGGCTTGCTTGCTGCTTGCTTGCTGTCTTGCTTGCTGGCTTGCTGGCTGCCTTGCTTGCTTGCTTGCTTGCCTGCTTGCTTGCTTCTTGCGTGCTTGCTTGCTTGCTTTCTCGCTGGCTGCTTGGGTGGCTTGCTTGCTTGCTTCTTGCGTGCTTGCTTGCTTGCTTTCTCGCTGGCTGCTTGGCTGGCTTGCTTGCTCGCTTGCTTGCTTGCGCGCTTGCTGGAAAATGGGTGTGGAACAAAATGACGAAAACAAGTGGCAAAACATCACCGGAAAAATCGCTCATCCCTGCATACCTCACAACTTATAGAAATTTGACTAGAGCGCCAAAAACGTGAAATTGAAGAACCAACAATGGTATTTGGATGGCCTGTCTGCAGGGAAGCACTGGTGCGTCAGACTCAGCGAAGGTGGATCTGAGAAGGGACTCCTAGTGTCGATACAACATGAGTCCCCGGGTTGACACCAAAAACTGCTGGCGGGTAGCAACGGATTTGCTTGCCTGAAATCAAGATCCCCAAGCAAACGACATGTGCCATGGTGAGCTCGCTTTTTGAAAGGGGCAAATGATTGCCGTGCTGGTTCGCTTGATTCTGCGCTGAAGCATACCCAAATTGCCACCAACAGCCTGGTTGAACCGAACGGCAGGTTGCATCTGCATGCCTTGCCCAGGAATGGTTGCCGTTTGGCTTCCTACTGGGAAAGAGGCCAAAAGATTGCTAACCCCTCTTATCCCCTTGGGATCACTTCCTGAGTGCATTGGCCAAACAAAGTATAATTTGTTCGTGGCTACTAAGCGGTCTCGCAAAAACTGACTAAGGTAAGGGGACTCCCTGCCATGTCTCCTGCCAGCTGGATCGATCGGCACTGCAACCAAGCATCCCGAGTCTGCGTCATCTCGTTTGATATCCGAGTCCTGGCAGCGCAAACAAAATTTGCCCGCCAGACCACTCTGCAAGTAGGCGTGCCAAGGAGGAGTGATTGATCGTGTGGCCGGGCGAGCGCCCTTGTTTTTAGCACGCCTTCAAAGCATACATGTTCTGAATATGTTATATGTGTTGCCTTCAACCAACCGAAGATACAAGTGTTAAACATGCTTTACATCTAGGTTCTATCGAAGTTGATTAAAAACAAATGCAAAGCGCTCCCTCTCTCTCTCTCTCTCTCTCCCTCCACGTGTCAGGTCAAGGCCAAGCGTTGAGCCGCAATTCAGTTCAAGGCTCTGCACGCCTCAGACTCTATGGCCAGCGGATGCAAGCTGTTTCGCATACTTTGTCAATAAACGGCGGTGCCCAGCTGAAAGCTACCGAGAGGTGAAGGGATGTGGTGGGGACTCATGCACGGGTGCTGGCACCAAATCTACAATCTGTTAAAAGGACACCAGGCTTCCACCCCAAGCGCGGGCCCCACTTCAACCCCGGTTTCGATGGTTCACCAGGCCGGAGAAGATATCAACATGCCAAAATGCTGCTTACATATCCCCTACATAGCTTGAAAGGGACAGCAAAGCTTCCTCGCGTTGATCGTCCAAAGCCAAGAGCCCATTTCAAGGCATTCCTCCACATTCCAGAGCCCGCAAATGAGTTGTCCTTCAAGAGCAAGTCCTTCCTCACTTCGATTGGACCGTCGATTCGGGCCTTGCGGCCCCACCAGGAGCACATGGCGGAGCTCACACCAGCCTGACAAACGATTCCAGCTGGAGAGAGTACTCAGCGAGTCTCACCATGAGCTACCAAACACCACAAAAACAGGAGCCCCCCCCCAAAAAAAAGAAAGGAACATTTTTTGTTTTTTAAAAAATACGGCTTTGTACGGAAAAAAAACCGGGTTTTGCAATTTACAGTGTTTGTACGGAACAATACGGTGTTTACGGGTTCTTTACAGGTCCAAATTCGAACAACCTGGTTTTGCCTGGGAGAATTCTTCAGCATGCCCAACTCTGACCCTCAGTTTATCTGTTGGTGCCCTTTGTTCTGAAAATGGCTTCGGTGTGTCTTTTGTGTTTCTTTTCAAGCAAAACAGGTATCGCCCAAATAGGAAACTACAAGGGAACACTAACTTGATTGCAGCCAAAGGTTTCAACCATCGCTTGTTGCCTTGCTTTATGTGCCGAAATCTTGAGGGAAACCACCAACAAAGGATGGGAACCACAAAAATCTTCACACCACACAAGATGGAAACAACTGAAAACCAGAAAGGACACCTGGACACTACTGGGAGCCACTGATATTGCCAGGGAACGCTTCAAAACCTGGTGGACACCCAGCTGGAACACCCCATACCCTGCAAAGTTTCAAATTATACAAGATGGAAACCAAATTACACCAAACCCTACAAGATGGACACCACACAACAAGTTTCATACCCTGGAAACCAAACGGACGAAACCCACCAGAACCACCAACAATTCAAGGCACAGGTCCCACGCGTTCCGTTTCGGATTTGCGCCATCGGCGAGCCGTCGAGGCCCGACTCTTCGCCTGGCGCAGCTCGCGGAACTGCGCCCGCAAGGTCTCGATGCTCCGGGAGCTGCCGGGCCGCAAGCGGCGCAAGGCGCGGAGCTCGAGGTTCGCAGAAAAAAATATCCACGAGGCTTCAGGAGAGTCACTTGCTCAAAACCCGGTATTAACATGGTCGTAATCCCAGAGCCATGTAAAGACTTGCCGCAGCCGTTTATGGTTGGGATTGTCCCTTACTAGCCTTCTAACCCCGTGATACTGACCCAACCATTGTTTTAGTGGTGGTTTGAGCCGCAGGGCCATGGTTGGTGTCTCCTTGGGTTCCCTTGTTTGCCCAAATGAGTACCCAAGAAAACGGATCAAGAGACCTTTACAATGGGTTGTCCCAACATTGCATTATGTTTTACTGGGTAGTTCTTTCGGGTCCAGGTGTCCTTTTTAGGGAGTCTCCTTTTTGCTGGGTTAAAGAGGACCCGAAAGGAAAACCAACCATTTTGGAGGGGTACCCTCAAAGAAAGACAGACTCAATGGGGTAAAATCATTCAAGCCACAAAATGATCAAGGAAAGCTACAGGTAAAGATTCCAAGCTGTTCTTTGGGGGACAACCCAGGGTGTGTTGTGCTTAAGTTTCCCACGTGGGTAAAGCTATATAGGGAGCTTTCTATTTGTTGGGCTTCGTCTGGCTGGTGCAATGTTTGACAACTGTTTCTTGTTTTTCCCGCAAGAGTTGGTATGGAACTTCCAGACTGGAACATTTCCCTCTGGTCCACTGCATTAGATGCTGGATGATTCTGGCCATATGGTGAATCTTACAACCTGAAGTTAGAAGATGTCTGGTGATCTGCACAGGCAAAACTTGAATGCAAACTCAACTGAGTGCACTTGCCTCAAGCGAGGGCCTCGTGCTTTGATGGTCTTGAGGGGCCCCTAAAGTCACTCACATGGGGGTTCTACTGGGAGGGGTAGGATGTGTCAGGCAAGTAGAGAGTAGTCAGTAAGACTGATTCAACCTATAATGGCGGATTATACCAATGACCACTTACTCAAAGTATCCGGCCACTTTAAGTTGTGGAAAAGAGGAAGTCAATTGGAATGAAGACAAGCAACCGTCTTAAGAGAGGAAAAATCGGTCGGCATGGCTTCTGTGATGTCCTTTCGTCAAGGACCGGCTTTCAACCATTTCAGGGTCTTCGGAGCCACCAGCTAGTCTCTCAGTGTGCGTGTACGGAAATCCATTGGGTGAGAAGGGCCGATTGACAAAGGCAAACAAACACCTCCACAGACGTGACCATTTCAGTACCTGCCCATTCATACAAATTCGTCAAAACAGCAAACTTCACTTAAAGCTCCTCCGGCTAGCATATCACCTGGAAGAACCGCACCTGGAAGAAGATTGACTTGTGACGGGAGCCCTTGTCCGCTTTCGTGTCAGTGGTAGCGAAGTGAGTTGCATATTCAAACATCTCTTGGATAAGGCACCCCTGCATCTGAATGCCTCAATTGTTCTGCACAGGTCTGGCTCTGGTGGTTGTTCTTGCTATCTGCATGTTTGACCCCGGGTTGTTGTTCGCATGCCTTCCCGTGGCAGGAAGCATTTGTCGCCTGCCTTGGATCTTCATCCATCGCGGCATGAGAACAGGTGCTGCGTTTATGGCTTTTGACATGGACAACATCTCAGGGATCCCGCACTCCCTCCCTCCTCGAAAAAAGGGAGTCAAGCGGCGCCTTTTTCGTGCAATGGCTGCGTCTCAGTCGCGAGCTTGCGCTGGGGCTTTCGCAAGAACTCACTCCAATATGCGGAATGGCCCAAACGGCCTGGCAGGAAAAGGGTACCTGGACCGCAATTTCACGATAAAGAAGGTCTACAGCAGATCCAGCTGCTTTGAAACGTCGTCAACGGCCCCTCCGCAGTCCGCGTGCCCCCAGGCAGCCACGTGGCCGTCGTCGAGAACCGCAACAAAGGCGTGACAGCTCGCGAAGATCTGTCGCACGCCCCGGAGATCGGGGCGGGGAATGCCTGCCGATGGCAATGAAACCGAAGCTTTCGCTGGTCCTCTTAGACTAGAAATCCAAAGTTCTATGCTGTGGATGTTGACAAAATCCGCAAAACACACCCGTTGGCAGGTGGTTCATGGTTCATATTGGTTTATCATCCAGTATTCATCCGAACTGGTGCGAATCGGATTTTGTCCATCCACAGTATGGGTGTCTCTTTAAAGAGGGAAACCCCCCAAAGGTGGTGGTTGTCCCTGTAGTTAACCTTCAGACCAAGCACCCGAAAAGGGTCATAACAAAGACGAACCAATATGAGCAATATCTGTCATCTGCAGTAAATGGGATGACATGGGGGTTCACTCGCCCAAATCGGACATCATGAATATCTGTCGCAACGGAATCCTGTTTGTTTCCCCTTAGCCACCAACAGGAATCAGAAATCCAAATCGGGAAACTGATACGAGCAAGTGGGCTATTTCCATAGTTACTGACCGTTTAGCTACGATACTCCCTGGGAAGAGGATGCGGATGGACGAAATCAACGCCAGGCAGCAGTTGGAGGATGATCTATCCCAGTATTAACAGCGCTTCATCCATCCCATCTAGTGCAGAATTTGGTTTATTTACGGAACTTGGCACGTAGGTTTCCCCTGCTTCAGTTGCTCAACAATAGCAAATTATTCCGGAAATCAGAACTGTTGACGGAGTTGAAACCTTACAAATGATACCCTGCAAGCAACTAGCATGGGACCTGACTGGGGGCGCCTGAAAGACATGTTCTCTCAAGACCCTCTGGTAGCTTCCACGTTAGACAGTCTTGAGAAAGCCACACGAACCTGGGGGTTTCTCTCCCCTTTTCCCAGGCTATTCCACCGGACTTGGCCCCTGCCAAGTCAAACCTGTTGCCTTGACAACACACGCAACAACCGCCCAATCCAACACGCGGATTCGTTTTGGATTCCCCTCATGCGACCAAAAAACAAACCCCGCCTGCCGCATAATACGTCATCCCCCCCCAGGTCACCAGCGCGCCCTCAGCAGTGGTCGCTGCGAAGCTGTAGCTGCCGCCCACGATCTGCCGCAC